CGACAACGGATTATTGCTATATTCTGGACTTCCAGGAATGTGGTGCATGGACAGAAAAATTATAATTACTAAAGCAATCATGCCATTTTTTTCCCTGTATCAGAAATGTGTCAGTGACAATGTGTAATATAATACAGATACTATAATTAATGGTATAAGAAACACATAATGTGTTAATTACAAAGGTGGATAGACTTTGTGAATATCTGAAACGCAATTGAAGATTATTGCTAAAATGCCATATGCAGCTGCAGTCTGGCCTACAAACAAATATATTAAACTTGCGTATAAGAGCATAACAGCTAATTACCAAGATGAATAATTGAATCATGATAGTTAAAGATCATATGATTGCAATAACAACTGCAATAATGAATAAGGTTTAAACTTTAGAAGAAAATATAAATGTTCTTATTAAAACAGAAACTACTCGATTTTCGTTTAAGTTTGCAGAGTGGTATAATTAATATAAGTGAAATACTTCAACAGTTAAAAACAGTTAAAACAGGCAGAAACTTTACTTCAACTATCATAAAGTTTATTTATAATGATAAAAATATTCAGTCTGCCAGAGCCAAGGCCAGTCAATGGAAAGTAAAAGAGTATTAGGGATTAACCCATCCAGGTGATATACATGATGAATTTGGAAATTGATCATTTAGGTCACCTATTGCAAACTGGTGAAAAGATGTCAAAGATATAAATTCAACATCCATACCACTCTATGTATATATATTAAAATACACGTAATCAAATATTTTATCAGTTTTTCAAATACAAAGAAAATGTAATTTGGTTTGTAATGGTTAAAGGTACATAAACCACCTATACAAAGGTAGAGTTAAAATATAAATACATTCAATATTGTATCTGAGTGCTTTCTTAACTCACTTTTAGAAATAATAATACAAATTCTAATCATCTTAAGCTACATCCAACAGCCACTGAAAAATATACTTAAACAATTAAGATTCACATTGTAGCTTTCCACAATGGCTGTCAGATCTTGGTTAAAAAAAAAAAAAAAAATGTTTTCTAAGACAATTTTTGGGTGTTTCTGGTATTTTAAGCCACTAATAACTGTAGTTATTATATTTACTAATTATAACTTAGGGAATAAGTTGTCTTCTCCCTAACAGGACAAAGAAAGATAATTAACGTCATATTTCCAATTATCAACTATTCTAAATATATTGAGAGATTTTGAATAAAGGAGTATTTTTAACATTTAAAGAGAATGTAATTTTACATACCATTGTGAACAAAGGTGGTAAATATTTTGCTGCTTCAAATTATCCTTATATATCTAAATCATATACAAGGGTGTTTATCTTTAAAACAAAACACTAGAAAGATTAACTATGTTACTATTTCATCTATCATTATTATACAAACTATAACAAATGAAAAGATTTTTCCACAGATTTGACCTGTGAACATTTTTAGCACAACAGCACCTGATGTCATTGAGATGTCTATCACTGAGATGTTACAAAGATTCCAATACAGCAAAAAGAGGCGTTCTTGAGAATCCACTTCAATTGCTGTATCAACATAACATTTACTATAATGGGATCCATGTCACTTAAGACAATGTCTTGGAAATGCTGTTAATTAATTTATTCCGTAAAAGAATATCGGAGAGTATCCAATCTATACACATCATAAATGGTGTAAAAAAATGTTTCATGAAAAAAACAAAATAAAAAAAAGACAAAGACAAGTACCAACGCCATCACCACAGTGATAACAAATGATGCTGATCAATATCCGCAACCAATTCTAGCCAAATATTTGGAAAGCTGGACTCTACAACCTATACTCTATAACAAATACCCGGGTATTCTACAAACACAACCTCCAGCAATGTATCTAAGGAATGTAAACTTCTACAGGCCTTTAAGACTTTGGATTACAAATACAATTACTATTTTTAACTTTGGATTACAATTCATATCCGGATCTATCCAAGAATATCTTACTCTGGAACCTGGTGTTCTTTTCAGTTCTTTCCCAGACAAAAGCTTTGCTCATTTTAATCAACCACCTTTACATGCAAAGATCACACTATGGATATTTTACTGTTACAACAATGATCAAAGATGCTGGGAGCACAAAAAAAACAAAAGACTGTTGGAGAACTTTGGTTTACTAATTTAAGGAAGAAATGCGCTACAATGCCCACAGTTTAATGGAGAGGGTGTTATGGGCAAATGCAAATATTACAAGTTTTAGAATGAAATGTTGTATTTCTTAAACTGTGTACTTTGTCTTTAAGAGATATTGCAAACTGACAAGGTGTTAGAAATGGAACATATTGTTTTTCATAAATGTTTCTTTAAGCAATAACCTCAGTTCATAATATGTTTGCGCCATTTTGTCCCAGACGAATTACAATAACAATAATGCATAAACAAGCTTCAAGGCTATGCTATGACTCTTGCAGTACACAATATACTGTGGTAACCCCAAGTTAATGGAACTTCCCCAAATCCGGGAATCTCCCACGACTGTACACTTACGACTTAGTATAAACAACATATAACCTATTCAGACTTTAAGATGCCATCTTGAACTAAGTCAGGAAAATTTCCATGACGTATGCACCCTTTAGTTATGGCCTTGTATGTTTGCCAAATTAAGGGAGGTCCTAAATTGAATAAAGTAAAAGAAGTGTTACTTTTTCATATTTGAACTACAGTAACCTAAAATGGAGACATCTGAGGTATAAATAGGTGTACTTTTAAATGTTAAGACACAGAGGAGAGACTTGGAGACAGACGCTGCTCCATCTTAAAATGACAGAGAGGCTGACATGATGACATGTTCAGAAGGGTATGTTAACCTATTAATGATATTTGCAAGCATGTAATTTAATTTTATAAACTCTGCTATAATGGATTTTATATTTTTATATAATAAATATCCAAAAAGACAATCTTGCTTCCAAGACAATCCTTATTTTATATTGTATTCTCAATTATTTATATATGTTAAATAAAGGATCTCTTACACTATATAAACTTATGGCTAAGATATCTGTATGGTTAGCCCTACTAAGTTCTATGCTTTAAGACATTATAGTGGTAAATAAGGGAACCACACACGGTTACAGTGCTAATCCTAGGTCTTTTTTTTGACCATATAAATTTAGTAAAGGAAGACTGTAATAGATTAATCCATCTTAAATGAATATCACTTGCGATTAAACTCAAGATGTATGTTAGTTTAGGCAAGACTTTTATAGTATTAATCTTGTCCCACCATTATATTTCTTTTTTTACCCAGGTGCTTAACTTAATATTAATTTCCATTATCAGGGGGAGCAAGTTAATCTCCTTCCACTGTTGCGGGTTTGCTGAAATTTTTAACCCTAGATAAGAAAAATGTTTCCTTGCCAAAAGGAAATCAAAGCTATCCATAATCCCTGCTTTCAGCTTTGGTGTTTAAAAGAACAAGAACGCTGTTGTTTTAGAGGTGTTTAATTTGTATTTCGAGAATTGACTATATCTTTGTTTCACCTCCATTAATTCATTAATTGAGTTTAC